CCTCATTTTTCTTTTGTCTTCCAAGGCTGGACTCTAGAGTGATGGATTCAGGATTTGCTTTCAGGTATTCTGATAGTGAGATAACTGAGGGGTTGCTGAGGTGTATATATGACCTGAGGGTATGCACACTGGATAGCCTTTACCCAGCATGGGTCATGCCTTCTCTTCCTAGCCTTCTGTGGATGTATACTTCAGTCCTCCCCAAATTCAGGAGTGTGATTAGGGTCAAATTACATACAGTTGGCTTGGAAGAGTGGCTGGATACTCCAGTAAGGGTCCAGTGACACTGCTTGGCCCTCCTTTAATGAAAGAGCACAACAGCCAATAAACCCAACTATGACGTGTTTAGCGATCAGGCTCAGCTGAAGTCATGATGATGGTAGTTATTTCATACAGAAGGGACTGCTGTATAGCATCATCTTATTAAAAGGACCACCACTTGGAGGCAGGATCCAGGGGCTCTTAGGCAGTCCCCTGGGTTCTCAGGCCCTCTGCTAGTTGGAGGCCAGAGGGAGGCCAGAACTTTAAGTAAGAACAAAACTCCTCCCTGTTAGGGTTCCAAATAGCAGCTCCCCCCCCTCCCCAACAGGGACCTACAAACTCTGCTGAGAAGCAGCCTGCCTTTCCTCTGACCTCCAAAGATAAGATAAACAGAGTTCCTCTTATCTTAAGAGGAAAAAGAAAACACTTCCACACCCTAATCCTACCTGCTTCCCCCTCCCTGATTCCACACCCTAAAGCCCCCATATGTAAAGTCCCAGCTCACAACCCGTGAGCTGACATCTTTCCCTTCCCGAGGGAAAGGTGCCCCGTGCGAAATAAATCTGTGTCCCACTGAGAATTCCATCGGTGCCTGCCTTCCTCCATCTGCTCGTGCTCTCCATCCGCGCCCACTCTCTCCTGCCCATTCTCAAAAATTCCATCTGAGCCTTGGTGCCTCATCCATCCGCTCGTGCCTTCCTCCATCCGTCCGCTCGCTCCCGCCCATTCTCTACCTATCAGATGGTGCCAAAACCCAGCTCTTACTTCAAGGGACCTCGCACGTAAAACTTTCAGACTCGCTTGTGATTACTGGCCTCTGCAAACACCACTAATTCAGCATTAAGGTACACTTCCACCCTCTATCTCTCTCCCCTCTCCCGTTC